TTTGAAGGCATCTTAGTGGATGTAAACTTCTGACTTTGAAGAGAGAAGTAAAAAGTTCTCTAAAAAAATATTCTCTCATCATTCTGTCAATTAGCAAATAGAAATAATGTTGGTGATCCTAACTGACCTGAAACAGGAACCGTTCAGTCACATTTAATGTCAGACAGAGAAATAAAAAAAAGGTTTTGTGTCTTTTTACGCCATGAACTCGGTTCAGCTCCGTTTCTCGCTGCTTCTGTTGCATCCTGTCAGTCTGCTTCATGTTGGATTCGTTTGCTCCTTGCTGTGTATTTCCTCACTTTCCTCCTTTTGTTTTCAGTTTTCTTTGCTGCTTCCTGTTAGCATTCACTGCTGGACTCAAATCTGCTTTGTCATTAAACAAACATTGTGGACATTTGTGTTTCTTTCAGCTGCGTTTTTGCACATTTAGTGTCGTTTTGCTGCAGAAGGAAACATGAAAAGATGCAACATGTGGCCAAAAAGAACAGTTCTGTGTACGTTTACTCTGATTTTGTTTTGTTGTTGTTGTTGTTGTTTTTAAAATGGTCTTAACACTGGTAGCAGCAGTGGAAAAGTAAGTACATTTACTTCAGTACTGCTCTTGAACGTGACCTTTCTGCCACGTTCTCCTTCCAGTTAACAACTAAACACAGTGCATTTGACTCCGTTACACTTATTTTGCAGCTTTACTTACTTTGCAGATTTATTTTGATAAAACAAAAACAATCAGCAGCTAAACTATGATAAAACCTGATTGATCCCTGAGAGACGTTCATGAACAGCAGACGTGAAAACGCTGCCATCCTGTGGTGAAAGCCGAAGCCCTGCGTGTCCTGATCACACTAATGATCACATCCTGATCACAACCTGCACCATGATGCACTGCTGCTCCGTCATCCTCTCTCCGGCTGCTCTCCTTGCAAACACTAACTTGTTTCTGCCACCAGTCTCTAACTGGGACTCATCCATGAATAGGAGTTGGTCCAGTGTGACGTCAGGAGTTTTGTTTCTTCTCCTGCGTCCAGTGATGGAGTTTATCTGGTGATGTCCAGACTGAGACTGGAGCGCTATAATGTCTCGTTAATTAATATTTAATACTTAAACTGTCATGTTAACGTATACAAGGTGCTTTTGTAAGAGTGTAGGTCGGTTTAACTGTTGACATAAGTAATTACTCATTTTGGATGTCTAATGACTACAGGAAAAATAAAATAAACCCTTTTACCTATCTCAGACACATTAACATTAATTTAAATGATGTTTAGTGTAATTTGTAAAAATAAAAATAAAAAAAATAATTAAAAATGCAAAGTGTTGAAGCAGCTGTCAAAAAAAAAAATCCAAAAACTTAAAAGTTATGGGACAAAGTTTATTTAAAACTGTTTAATCAATCACAAGCATGACAGAGACATTTTCAACATGTGTGATCATCATCATCATCATCATCATCAAAAATAAACTGTTTAAATCGTTATTCAAATCTACCCAAACTCCTCTAACCAGTCTCAGAATTAAACCCTAAAGAAATAATCAGGCACTTAGTCAAAATAAACACATGAAGATAGAAAACAAATCTATGAAATGTCAAACTCTCATGATGTCTCTCATACAGTGGCAACAGTCACATAGATTAGAATAGTTGAAATCAACATTACAAAACCATTTCGCCAGTGGAAAAAAAAAAAAAGACATGCAATGATAAAAACCAGAAAAGACAGCATTAAGGACATTATCATCATTATTACTTATGAATAAGAAACTGCTCATTTCATCCCACACACATACACAACTGTTGGCAGATTTGATGCATTTTAAATGTTCAGCATTCAAACAACACACGAGCTTGTTGTTAACAGCGACTCTGCTTCAGCATGTTCAGCGTCCAAACCGCAAGAAACAAAACAACAACATGTACTCTGGGTCTGGGCTTTGAAAACTGATCCCAGAATTTAAATCATTTTACTGGGTTTTGGTGCTGCAGCACAAAAAGCTTTATATTCCAACACAAAGTTCTGACCTTCCAGCTCATTCCTACTAAATCAACAGAATATTCACTTCATCCTAACGCTGTGTGTGAACACAAAACTCTAAATGCATCTCTGGCACACGTGTTCAAACCTGTTCCCTTAAAAAAGCAAGTTAGTTTCCCGATAATAAGACACGGCCTCCAGAGTTTAGATTCTATTTGTTAATGAAACTTTCAGAAACGAAGAAGCAATAAAAAGCTTAAAATTAGCAAAAGCAAGCAGCGCTGCAAAACCTCCCTCAGACTCTAACATCAGAACATTTACAAATACAAACTAAAACGTGTCGCTGATCTTTCATTAATAAAATAATTCCTTTCCTCTCACTCTTGTAACATTCTCAGGCATTCAACAGTTCATCCATTTTAAAAACAAAGTCTTTTTTCATTTTACTCGTGTAGGAATCAAACAGAAATCTGTCTCTGGATCTTTCAGTTCTGCAAACATGAGTCCAGTTTGTGGTTTTCAACAAGACGACGGCGGGATTCTTGGTGAATATGTGCTGCTGGTGACAAGATGTGTTTCCTCTGTGCTTTGCTTACGTGTAGATTTATTTTTCCCACAAATCTTCAGTCTTATCTGTGTAATACTTGCTTATTAAAACTAAGAGTTGTATAAAAGAAGGAACAGGAAGAAACAAAAAGAAGTCATGAAGGAAACTTATGAGAACATGAAAAATGAAAACGTGGCTGCTTTTCTCAGAAATGTGTCTCAGAAATTCGTTGTTTTTTACTTTTTCTTTCAAGAACAGAATTAAAGAAACGTGCAGCTCTTATCCACCATGCAAGAAGTTTGTCATTTTCAAAAGGACATTTTAGCTTTGAACCATCATTCCCTCTCATTATTTAATCTAATGAGCGATTGGCCGCAGCAGCTAAAATGAAGCCGTCACTGTGAAAGATGAGATAAGAGCAGCTTTGGGGGCTTTAATGACTGCATTTTATTCTAATGGAGGAGACGACCGGCGTGAACTGAACATGAATCTCGTCTCACTGCAGGTGAGTGAGCAGCTGAAGCTAAACCAAAGCTATGCTGCCGGCTCATACGTTCTAAAAATGAAATTAAAGACTCCGTGCTCGTCTGACATCAGAACTGCTTTGTGCACTTTTTGCATTCATTTCCCAAATGTTGATCAAGTTTGCGTCCATTTGAACAAAAACCTTGAAGCTCTGTTTGTTTGCTGCTGGCTCAGTCAGAGTGGATGGAGAGGGCCACTTTGAGGCAGCCCAGCTCTTGGCCCCCGCTGCCCAGGACCCCCTGAACCCGGTAGTTCCCGTTGGTCAGCCAGTAGGGCAGATCCACGTAGGGCAGGTAGAAGTCCGACTGAGGCAGCGAGTACGAGCCCTGAGGGCAGACAGAGAGAAAGAAAGACTTGTTTTTACAAAAGACTCAGATTTCCAGCTAAAACGGTGTCAGCCAGCAAAGAAACAGTTCAGATAATTAGGTTTTGAGAGACAAGGTTAAAGTAAAAACTTGAAAACAGATACCAGCGGTTGGATAATAATGAACAAAGCCAGAACATGTGTAATCATTTCACATTTTTATGAAAACTTGGTGGGTTTCCTCATTACACACTGAGAAAATGAAGCCAGGGTTTTGCTACTTCCTGGTTGACATCTTGGATTTTTGGAGCCAGTGACGCAAAAATCGTGGGAGGGGGGCGGAGCCATAGGAGCAGCGATTGGTCAGACGGATTGAGAGGCGGGGCCTCTCTGCCCGCCCACATTTACCGCCTTCTGCTCGCTTCGTCTGTATGGTCGCTGCCGACTGTCAATCAAGCCAGCCACGCCCCTTGCCTCGCAAGATGCTGAGGATTTTTAAAAATTCAGTATTGATTTATTTTCAGATTGGCCACCTGATCTCTGGATTTGACCATGGAAACTAATAAGAAACAAATCCTGAGCTGTAGGAATGCAGTATTTCATGATCTGTGATCACTTCTTTTCCAGTTCCAGTCTATGGGAGCCAGGGCTTTGTGGAGCCAGCAGCTAGTGGACGTAGTGATACTGCAGGTTTTTGACACTTCCGGGTTGGTTTCATTTTTCAGGGCTGGTTGCTGCGTCCATCTTTTGTACAGTCTATGGCCTTGTCTTAAAAAAATGTTCCATTCAGAGTCTGGGGTGGTGTTAGAAACTCATCTGTAGCTGATGTGTATGAGTAAAGTACATGTGTGCTTCTGATCTGGTGGCCTGTCTTTTGTTGTATTCTGAAAGTGTCCAAAGAAAACAAAAAAAAAACAAAGCATGAGCTTGAGGTTCTCCTCGTCTAAATGCACAATAACGGGTGTGTGGAGTCGAAAATGTGTTATGATGGTGTAAGTCTCATGTCACGATGACTTGAACAGTTAGCATCAACAACAACAGGAACTTTGAAGTGTGTACCTGATTATCATCGCTGTAAATACAAGGTTTTAAGTGTCCACTTGGCAGCAAAATGAAACAAACAAAGAAGCGACGCCTTCCTGCAAATGAACAAATGCTGACTGCACATAATTTACTCGTAGGCCGTCTGCTCCCACATTTCAACCTGCACCAACATGGTTTCTTGTTTATAACTGTTGTCCGACTGAAATGTGTTGTAGAAGATGTTCGAGTTGAGAAAGAAGCCAAGCAGCTGCTGAATCTCTTTGTTTCAAAGTTTTTCAGGCGTTTGCAGAAGTGGACGCCTCCGACTTGTATAAAGTAGCTTCAGATGAGGAGAGGCCATTATGATGTGTTCGCTCTCTAAATGCACGGCACAGCTGCTTACATGCAGTCAGTCGATGTTTCTTAAAGAGGCGACAAGTGCTTCAAAACAGAACAAAGAAAATACGCTTTTAAGGTCCAATTCAAACTTCCTTAACTTTTCTCTCTGTATTCATTTTTCAGGGGATATTTCTTTTAGCTTGACGAACATGTTTGAACCTGTCGCTACAAGAAGCAGGTAAGACAAGCCTCTGGACGCACGGCTGCATTAGTAAATCACAGCAAAGCCAGCATGAATGCATGTGGAAGAGGCGGACGATTGAACAGAGACTCACAGCCTTGAAGGGGCAGCGGCAGGGCAGGCCGTAGGTGTGCAGCGGTTCGGGACAGTCCTGACCAGGTGGGATCAGCTGGTTCAGAATGTCGCAGGCGTCCCGATAGTGGCAGCTTCCCAGCTCCTCCACGCAGGGAACCTTCACCCAGAAACCGGCCACCTCCTTCTCCAGAGTCACATTGACCTGAAGAGGAAGAGGATTGGGCAAAGAAATAAGGAAGAAATAAGCATGGAGAAGGTACATCAACAGTTTGGAGGCTCTCAGAAAATTAGCATCCAAAACCAGCTCATTTACAGCATTTGGTGGGACACAAGAAGGAACGATAGAATAGCAACAATCACATTAAATCCACTGAATCTGATGACAAACACAAAATAGTCAGTGAGCTTTTCTGTAAATATGGAGGAAATTTGAGTAAAAACTGCAAAGCAACAACAAAGATTGTCTTGTTTTACTTCACAAAGCACGTAAACGTGGACGGGTTCATAAAAAAAAGTGCAATAAACAGACAAACAGGTCAGTACAAACACGGGGAAGCAACAAAGTGAGCTTTAAGGAAGTCAGGTGAGAAAAAAGATTGTATCACGAGACAGCTTTGACAAAGTTCCTGTTATCAGGCGGTGATGATGAGAAACAGGAGTTTAAACACCTTTAACCTGCAGAAACTCATGACAACATAAATAACGGTAACTTTCATCAGTCTGTGTGCATCAGCTCCGTCTGTGTTCAAACCTGGTTTCACTTCATGAGGAGGAGACTCTAAATACGACAGATGTTGAATGTTTTTTGGAACTTGCTTTTCTGTATCGTGATTTATTTACTGATCCAAATGTCTCATTATCTTCTCAGTCTCCCCTCATCTCATCTGCCTGCAGCTCACCTCAAAACTTTTAGTCACGTGGTTCAGTCCTGATGGTTTGTCAGGTGTGCTGAACAGCAGAATGTATTCTTCAATTAACTAATTTAACTAAAATGCTAGACTTTGGGCTTTTTTTCTTTTCTTTATGGGACACATAGAATAAAGTAATTTTGATAAAATATGATCTTAAGCTGGTTGGCGTCCCAGTGGGGGCACCGGGATCTTTCTGCGTGGAGTCTCCATGTTCTCCCCGTGCAGCGTGGGTTCTCTCCGGGTTCTCCGGCTTCCTCCCACAGTCCAGAAACATGCTGAGGTTAATTGGTGATTGTAAATTGTCCGTAGGTGTGAATGTGAGTGTGCTTGGTTGTCTGTCTCTAAGTGTAGCCCTGTGATAGACTGGTTACCTGTCCAGGTGAACCTGCCTTCACCTTGAGTCAGCTGGGATAGACTCCAGCCCCCCATGACCCTAGTGAGGATTAAGCTGTGTGTAGATAATGGATGGATGGATGATTTTAAGCTTACATTTCCTTTTTCCCAACACATGACATGACTGTCAGCACGTCTGCTGGTGAGCATCCCTGCAGGGAAATCTGTCAGGAGTCAGCAAATTGCTTTTCCTCCTGTCACTCAGACTGAAAGCTATTTTTGAAAAGGGTTTACAATGATTCAGGTTGTTTTGAGAGCTGCTGCAGCTTGCTTTGTTTCCCTGGTATATGCTGTTTTGTGTGACTCTGAATCTGTATAACACAAGTAGAGAGTGTAAAGTTAGCGCGACCCGCAGAGACACAGCAGACATGTTAATGGGAAATACAGCAGGACAAAAACTCTTTAAGTTAAAAAAAGAGTAAAGAAAGACCTCATTAGATGGGCTTTGTCCTGCACTTTTAACACCACCATAACTAAGATCTCTCCCTCGCAGCACCACTTCACACGTCTGATGTGCACATGCACATAACGAAATGACTAAATGAGCCGAATGGGTTCGTGATGAAGCTTTAAACTGGATTCAGTTTCAGTGTTCAGTCTTTATTGTTGCACGTGTGGTCAAAGAAAGACTGACAGCGTGAAACCTGCAGAGTGCTGAGGTTTCCTCTCCCTGCTGACTGTGGCTTTATAGCCAGAAACTGCAGAGTTAAAAATCAACCAGACCTGGAGTTGTTGCTGAATCCATGAAGGCTGCAAGAAGCATTCAGAGCGTTTGTTCAGGAAAAGCAGAAAATCTTGCAGACTGAATAAAAGCTCTGCTTTCTAAATGTTGCATTGTTTATATCAGTCATATTTTTGTTTTCTTGTGTAGCTAATTTTAGCTACTTTATAGAGATTAATGAGTTTAATATCAAAGTTCAGCATAATTCTTCATATGTTTTGCGTGTAAGAGGTTCAAACTGTGAAAGGTTTTTACGACCCCAGTTGGGCTGCAGGTGAGCCGCTCTGTGGCTGAATGAATGTGCTTCCTCTGTTTGCCAGCTCCCCTCCAGCTCCCTCGTCCTCCCGTCAGCTCATCCTCCTGTCAGCAGTCACAGAAAAGCTTTCCTTCTTAAAAACTCTAAGAGCTGGGAGTTTCTGGGGAGTTTCTGGGGAGTTTCGACCAGGTTGTAACGAAATACAACATTTCCTTCTGGAATGCAGCAGCGTGAAGAAAAAAAACTTTTCACTAATGGAGTCTTCAAACCTGTGAACCCAGACTTTACAGAACTAAAGGGACATTGTGTAAACTTCCCTAATGCTGGATAAAGTGGAAATAAAACTGACAGACTGAACTGTGCCTAAATTAATCAAAGCCATTAGGACTCGACAGGCTTTTTCGGGACTTGTGTAGAAACTATTTATTTCCATTTTTTTAGCTGCTCTTTGACAGTAAATCCAAAGAAATATCCTGAAACCCTCTGAGGAGCTCCGTGTGCACAGCCCGACCTGCTCATATGAGGATCAGCAGCAGATCCAGACTCGCCAGTTTCTGCTCGCTGCAGGAAGATGAGATATGACACAGGATGGTTGAAGCGCTGCTGAGGAACGCTGCTCTGTTGGTGGACGCTGCAACTTAGCGAGCGCTTCAGCGATGGGCAGTTGGTGAAAAATTGCAAGTGTGACGGCTGAAAGTCTCTGCAGAAGACAGCTTTAAAGCTCTTTTCATCCTGATTCCGTTTGCTGTATGTGCATGTTTGTCGGTTTTGTTTACTGGTTTTGGCCTGTGTGTCTTTGTCACTTGTAAATGTGCTAACGTGAAGTATTCAGGGTGAGTTTTATGACGGAATAATAAACAAACCAATAAAAACTGTGATGATTCAGCAGCTGTCAAATCTGGAAACGCTGGAAGCAAAGTGTTAGAATTGAATTATTTCACAATCTGACACCATCAGAGGTGCAGAGCAACGGCAGAAGATCAGGTGTTTGCACTGTGCAGTCATCTTCAAATGTAAGCAACATCATAAACTAACATCAGCCACAAGAAGAACAAAGAGCCCCGAGGCCTCATTTATCATCATTTATGATCAGTTTTGAAGTTAAGCAGCAAACCAGGTACAAATAATTCTTTAAAACAAAAGTCTTTCATCAACATAGAAGTGATCTGACCACAAAGGCAGGTGCAGATCACAGACATGGAAGGTAGAAATCAGATCCTCAGAAATTGCTGAAGCAAGTTTTGTATTTAAGTGGAAGCACAGCTCTAAGAATTTAAAATGAATAACATTTAAAAAATGATCTCAGCTTAATGGAGTCAGTTCTGGGTTAAATGAATCCATAGAAGACACGAAAACAGACTGAAGCCACAGAAGAACTACAGATTAAACAGAAACGTCTCTCGATGCTGCACTTTGGAAAAAAAAAAAAAAAAAAGCTGTTCATGTTCTTTTTAAAGCGTCCCTCAATGTGTCTTCAGTCTGCAAAGTCCTGTAAATGTACTCACAGCCAGAGGAGCCGCGAGTTCAACAGATGTGGATCCGGAGGCAGAGGCCTTCAGGTCTCCTGGGATGGAGATCGGGTCTGGAGACACACTCAAGTTCTTCAGCACAGCTGGAGCATCAGGCTGTCCGCAGTTCTTCCAGTCGAACCCTAAAACCTGCACAGAGAACAGCATTTAGCTACACACCTGAAATACTTCACATCTCAGGATTTGCATGTTCTATGAACAGGTTTGATTTCCATTCCCTGCTCCAATGAGCTTGTCCAGACCTGAAGCCTGAGTGAAGCAACCAATCACACGTCGGCTTTTAACACACACTACAAACGTCTTTAATTCACCACAACAAACAGCCTATTTTAAAGCTACATGTGAGTTTTCTTTGGATTAATTATACTCTTTTCTTCTGTGAACTATAAATCTATGATTTATTGTATGTATTAGTTGAATACTTTTAATCATCTGCCAGTGAAGTACTTCAGCTTGTCGGTTAAAAATGATCTAACAGATGAATCCTGCTGTGAAGACCACAGGAATGAGGACAGTGACTCTCTGACATCATCCTAATACTTAAAAACCAGCGGCAGCCTTGGAGGGAGTGAGAGTAAACGCTACAAACCGCTTCATCCTTTCATGTGCTGCTTATTGGTTCATTGACCATTTGTTTAATTACAATAACACAAACAAAAACAAACAAACAAACAGCTGCTTGTTTTCTGAAGCAAACAGTCAAAAAGCAAAACAGTCATTTTATGACAACATGTATTTATATCTGTATAAATATATGTTTGGACTTTTTTTAAAGGAATACATTCTTTGTTTGTTTGTTTGTTTGTTTTAATCTTTCGTTCAAAAAAAATGACTTTAGGATATTTCAACCACATGTCGCTGCTCTCTTCAGTGGGAGGAGATAAATGGTTGTTTTGTTTGTTGTTGTTGTTGTTGTTTTAATAACAATCACAACTTATGACCACTCTGACAGACACAAACTTCATTATTTGCTAAAGACCAGGAGATGTGGCTGAAAAAACGAGTCAGCTCGTCTTAAACATTGTTTGTTCTGCTGATAATGTTTTTTTCTGTGAGCTCCGGGTTCAGTCAGCTGATCCATTTGCTCACGCTGGTTTGGTAAACAGACAGAACTGTGTTTCTGTCTGTAGAGGTCACCAGAGGTCTTTGGTCCAGATACTTTTCTATTTCAAAGGAACAGTTGAGTAAATGTACTAATGTTTGACTAAAGCTTTGACTGTAGATGTTTTCTAATGTTGCAGGAGCAGTGAAGACAGACATTCACCTTACAGCCTTTAATGAGGGATGTCACACACCTTTCATAGGATCTAATCAGTGCAGAGAAACACTGACTAAAGACAAAATGTGCTCCTGTTAGGAGGTCATTTACAAGAAGTTACGGAGGTCCTGAAGAATCAAAACAGCTTTTTAGATTTTATAAAACACATTAAAGGGAATAAATTGGGTTTTGCTAAATCTGTAGCTTTAGGTCACAATCGAAAGTATTCCATAAAGAACATATAAAGACCATGTGTTTATGACGCAGTTTGGTTTAGTTTTCATTTCAATGTTGTCTCTTGTAATTCCAGATATTTCCTGGTTTCATTTAATTTGTCATAAGACACAACCTGAGAAAAACAGAAACACTCACACAAAGATTTAACATTATGATTAATACATTAACAGATTAGCTGCCAACTATCAAATTATTTTCCAATTATTTTGTTAATCTTTTAAAAGTCTAAATTCTCTGCTTGCAGTTTCATTCATGTGAATATTTCCTGGTTTCTCTCCTCTGACAGTAACGACCTTCGAGTTGTGGACAAAACCAGGTTTCCCTATTTTGTTCGATTTTAAAGATCAAACAACTAATTGATTAATTGACTACAGAAATAATATAAAACAAACCAAAAGTAGCAAATAAAGCGGCACCAAAGTAAAGCAGAACACAAGAATCCCTTAAACCTGGTCCTACATGTTATATGTGGCAGCTCCACACGTCTTTGTTGGGACTTCTTGTACATGTTTGTAGGATCACAGCTTAATTCTAAATTAATTATGTTATTGTAGTGTTCTTATATGTATTGTTATCATTTTTGCCACAGCTGTCAGTCTGTTTTATTGTGTATTTCTGTATCGTGTATGTATTTTAAATTATCTTCTGATTTTGTATGGCTGCTACCTTGGCCAGGTCCTTGCTTATTTTTATTTTTTTTAATCTCAATGGAACTTCCTGGTTGAATAAAGGTACATAAGTACGTAAATAAATAAAACCACAAAGCGTAGGATTTCAACTAAACATTACTTTACTTATGCAAATGACTTCCTGCTGAATAATGAACCATGTTCGTGATTAAACCGTCCTGAGACGAGCTGAAGTCACCTGATCGTGAGCTCACCTGTGCTCTGGAGACTCGCTTCAGTCTGAACGAGCTGCAGTTCGTCTGAGATAAAACTGCTGCGACAAACACAGCCGCCGTCAGCGTCACACTTCTGTCCATCCTGGGTCCTCTGGTACCGACACACACCGACACACACACACACACACCGGGGGAGCAACAGTCCGCAGCGCAGAGACCTTAAACACACCGCTCCCGGAAAATTCTTCTTGTTTTCTTCCGCTGCTCCACTTCCGTGTTTACGGTCACAGCCGTCACGTGGTCGCGGAGCCACGTGACCACTTCTGCGCAGTGGATGGAGCAGGGTTTGACCACAGACGGTCTTGCTTGTGTTGTATCTGCTCTCAGACGGACGTCGCTTTGCATAAAAGCGTCTGCTGAATGAAAGTGTAGAATTGTTCAAGTTACCCTTGAAATGCAAACTGCATTTTCTAGAATTATATTGTTAGTCTGTTGTATGTATTTAGAGAGCTTCAAAATGGCTGATTTGAGTAGTTATAGTTAAGTTGACTGTACTTCGAGAGACAAACATGATATGACACAAGCAAGTCCTCTTTATTTTTGTACATTTACTTTCTGAGACTTGTTGAATTTGTTCCTGCTAACAAGCATGAAAACACTCATAACATTGTTCTCCAGGAACGTCTGTCAAACAAGACATTCTCAAGTAGCTGTTTTTTGTTTTTTACAAATAAACAACACAACTTTCCATAATAATAATAATACATTTTATTTAGAGGCGCCTTTCTCGACACTCGAGGACACCGTACATACAAATCAAATGATCAGCTCATCATCAAGCTCTGCAGAAGCCTGATAATGATCCTGATCATTTGAATCAGATGTGATGGAAGAAGGAAACATCTGAAACATGCAGGACTGTGGCCCTGGAGGACCAGGACTGGACACCCCTGCAGGACGTCTTTGAAATGATTTAAAATGTTGTGTAGCTGCACAGTAGCACCAGTAGATGTCGTAGTCGGACAGTACACCGAAAACACAC